ACCTGCTGGACGTCCTGCTGGAAAACGCACAGCTGCAGCCGCTGGTGGAGCCGCACCTTGCGGTGCTGCCAGATGTTCTCCAGCTGCCGCTGGTGGTGCAGCACCTCGTGGATGACGTCGAGCACGTGGTGCACGGCCTTGGAGTAGTTGGCCGAGGCTGTCAGGGAATCGGAGCTGCCGGGGGTCAGGGGCCGCTGGAGCTTGTCGAGCAGCGACTTCCCATCCTGGCTCACCTGCCCAGAACAGACAGCGATGAGAACCAGTGGCTGCTCGGCACTCGCCGTCCGCCCGGCCGTGCGGCAGGCTGTCCTCGACGCACGTGCGCACACAGCCATGTGCACGCACGCTCCCACATGAACGTGAGCCACAGTTTTACTCAAAGGCATATTTTATAATGAACAAAATAAAATAAGAACAACTCCATCAGTTATCCAATGGCACTACAGAACCAAATGTGATAAGACACTGAGTTAAAAGAACACCTGTTATCATGAAACATTGTAGACGCTGTTCTTAATGACATAAGTCAGCGGATATAAAATTGCATTGCTGGGAAATCCTCAAATTAACATGTAAAAGTAGTCATTGTTAGAGAGAAAAACAATTACAAGAGCAAATTTTAATGTTGAATCTTGAAACCTCAGTTTTTTTTAAATCAATAATTTAGCACTAAGCAAGGAATATGTACATAAACTTTCTTACATAGTTGGATAGCAATTTTACTTCACGAAATAGAGAGAAAATTTTAAAATGCCATTTAATTTGGTTCATTTGCTTTAAAAAGTAATGTTAATTAAAATGTCATCAGCTTTGGGAAAAGACTTCTGTGCTGTATTAGCACAGTGAACTACGGAATATACAATGAAATGAAAAGCATTCAGACTAACCAAAGAAGTAAGAAAAGATGAGGGCGGAATATGAAAAGAAAAGCATGACGTGTTTTTCATTTTTAAGTGAGTCTTAAGACTGAGGGATGATGAAGCCAAGCCAGATGCCATAGAAGGAAAACATGTCCGATCAGACAACAAAAAGGGGTCGCAGAGCAACCAGCTGTGTGACTCAGGGGGCTTCTCAAAGTAAGGCTTCATCTCGGAGCCCTTGGAGCTCAGACACCTCGGAATCTGAAACCTCCCTGGGTCTCTAGGGGGAGAGCGGGGCGGA